ATCATACAGAGGTATTTATGGGCTCCAAATTTTTTTTTAAAATTATGAACGCTGTATGTTAACGAATCGACAGAACCAACATTAGGGAATGGTCAAGTGAGCTCCGTATATCGGTGTCCACTTGACCACGGAGCTCACTTAAACCTGATTTTTAACATGGGCGGACTCCACTTTATGCCGTAAATTTATATATATTTATATATATATATATATATATATTTATATATATATATATATATATATATATCGAGAAAAGGAGTACGACCGTCAATCCAATATAAAATAAGGCCACCACTCCAATATAAAATAACCCGCCACTCTTCGAGTGATCCTATTTATATATATATATATATATATATATATATATATATATATATATGTATATATATATATATATGTATAATATATATATGTTATATATATATATGTATATATATATATATATATATATATATATACAGTATAGGTAAAAGTTTATGGTCGGTATGGACCTTACATGAGATGGAGTGAGAAACAACTGTTTAAAAAGAGAGAGATATATTAGGTGTCCGCCTTTTATATCACCGAAATAAATGAGTGGATATGGAGTGGATATAATAAAAGGGGAAATTCAACGTTGCCAAACTTATTGGTTTTATTTGACTGTTGTCTTTTTCGCATTTGAACAATGCTCCAAGATAATGAAATTTGGGCGAAATGGATTTAAATGGCAGCTTATTGTTTTTTATTGGGAATATGCCACAATTTTACTTTACAATAAGTGTAATATAACATTTTGATTTATACTTCGGAAATCGTTTTATATAAATAAAATTTATTAATGTTTGGTATTTTAAAAACGATTTCCGAATTAAAAATCTAAACATCAAAATAAGCTTATTTTAAAGTGACATTATGCCTTATTTCCAATAAAAATATTAAACTGCATATAAATAAAAAAGCTTCGTACAAAACTATTTGCCAACGTGGCGTGTCGCGTGGTCAAATCGCCGAATCAAAGGGTAAACAGGTATTTACGAATAGAGGTGGGTCATTGACGTCGCAAAACCGATTTTCGTAAACAAGTAACTATGATTTTTTAATAGTAGTTTCAAGTAAGAAACTACCTACATAAACAAACATAATGGCTATTATCGTTTATCTGTATATTTATTGAAGTGAAGGAAACTAATAAAAGATTTTATTATAACTTGAAAACTAAACTAAACAATACAAATAGTAAATCGTACCTACGTTTACATTACACGTTATTATTAAATCACGAATCGTCTAAATTGACATTTAAAAACATAAGTTTTTTTTACTTTACTTCTTATTAATTGTGTTTTTTTTTATTTAAAATTAAACCTGATTTTGAACATGTGTTCACATTTACAATACTTTATGAATATAGTGGTTAAGTTAGGAGATACAAGGCGATGGTTTTTTTCACCATTGTAATGGACTCTCGCTACAGGTGTACGTTTAGATGAGTCATGTCCAATTAATTGATCAAAAATACACCATGGACTTAAGTCATCTTTATCGGTTTCTTTTTCTTATACTGGTTGATTTTCAATAGTACAATCTTCTTGTTCTTTAATTATAGAAGTAACCAGCTTCTTAACTCTTTCTTTTGTTTTTTTAGCGTCATTTTTATCAGAAAATCCCTGCACTTTAAATCGTGAATCCATAAACGTACATAATGACAATATGCCACTGTATTCTATCCCTCTAAATCTTTTTGCTAAACCCGAGATTAGTAATTATCCCGTAATTAGTAATAAAAACCCGTACTACGTCGGATACTAACTATGGATGTAAGGTTATTGTTTGCTAAAATTTTATTGCAAGATTTTTGCAGGCAGCGTACCAGAACAATCACTGAACTATCATTCAAGTATTTTTGGCCACTCATTGTACTTGTTATTTCTTTAAAAGGCCGTAAAATTTAGGACAATTACGAAAAAATAATCCAGTCTTCATTATTTAGATTTGGTCTAAGTCTAAGTCTGTATTAACTGATACCAATGTGGAACGGATTGCCTCTTCTAACTCCGTCATTCTTTCTAACATGTAATAGGTGAAGTTCTACCTAGTTTCCACGTCTTGGATTGGCCGTTTGGGATCTTTGTTATGGTGTAATTGATACTTTAAAGGCGTTTCTGAGGATAAGGTACTTTTTTGAAATGTGTTTTTTGCCGAATTGTCGAAAAAGACTTTTTATTTTATCTATTTGTACACGACAGCATTTAAGTGCGTCCTCCATCAATAAATTTAACGTATTAGCAAAACAATTTAAATGTTTTCATTCCAAAGCATATTTAATAGCTATGACCATATTTGAGGCATTATCAGTTACTGCAAAATTTACTTTTTGTTTTAGACCCCACTGAATAATAATTTCACTAATTTTAAAAGCGATGTTTTCTTAATTATGGTTTCCAGAAAAATGGCAGCAGTCTAATTAAACCGTGTTAAACTCTAAATTTTCGGTTAAATTCGTTAAAATCAACTAGTTGATGGTTGAAGCTGGTTACTTCTATAAAAAAAAGAAAAAGAAGATTATACTATTGAAAATTGACTAGTACAAGAAAAAGAAACTGATAAAGATGACTTAAGTCCATGTAAATGTAAGTACTATATTTGTATTGTTTAATTTATTTTTCAAGTTATAATAAATATATTCTTCGTTAGTTTCTTTCACTTTAATACTTATACACATAAACGATAATAGCCAATATGTTTGTATACTCGCTAATTTGAATACTGGTAAACAATCAACTAGTTACAGTTTACGAAAAACGGTTCGATAAAAATTTAAAAAACTAAAGGACCCACCTCTAGTTTCTTAGCTTTATGAGGATCGGAACCACAGAATATGTAAAATATCTCTGATCGGAACTAATCGTCTCACTAACAGGCAAAATGGGCGTCAAGAAGATTTATGGAGGGGAGACCAAGGGGGAATATGATTGTTATCTTTGTCTATTCGCTGAAAATATGATTTTATATCTGTGTTAGATATCCTGTTAAGTTTTACCATACCGACCATAAAATTTTACCTACACTGTATATATATATATATATATATATATGTGGATATATGTGGATATATGTTGAAAAGTATTGGCAATGAATGTGTAAAAATAAACTTTATGATCGAGCCATATCACCCTTAGTGTCCGAGTCATGTGTCACCCTGACACATCGGGTGAGTTGACATTTTACAATTTTTTGTATTTTGATGTTTACTGTTTTTGTATATAAGTATTTGGCTTAACCAACTCTATACATTTTCTTCTAATGGTATTTTAATAAAAATACATAAATATTTTAGAGCGTATACTTTTTTGTGCTAAGATACAGACAGTCAAAAAAATGTGAGGCATCTCTCCCGGACTTACCAAAAAAAAAAGAAGTGGTTGTTGTATCTGATTTTATATGTAGGTGGATTTCATAAGTAAACCTTCAAATTATTATCTAACCCACTGTGTATTGCTGAGCCATCTCCTCATTCCTCATTAACAATAAAAACTCATAAAGCAAAGGTACCAATTATCCATCAAGAGCAAATTAATGACCTGAAGAATCTTTTGCAGTACGTCCCTCAAGAACACGAGTGGTTTTACAATAAGCTTTTCTAATGGTCTACGGTTGCAAGCAAAATATGAGCAAAGATATACAAAATGCAATTAATTTTTTCTAATTGTATTGTCTTAGAACTGTTTTAATAAAGTAATATTAATTATAAATAAACATGGTGTAAATTCATCAATCAATCAAAACCTTCCCCGTAAAAACAAGACGTTTCTTTAGTCAACTATTTTCAATGATAAAAAAATACAATAATAATATTAAAAGGTAAATGATATGAAAAATCAGAACAGTATAAAATGGTTTTTCATAAAACTAAACTGTTTTTTTTTTGTGACAAGCGGCCGGCGTTTCATGAATAAGCGATTCATATATGTAAAAGGGCAAAACTGACTCAAAAGGGCATAAAGATAAATGGATAAAAGTATAGCCACCTGAGGTTTGCAGATGATATTGTGCTAATAGCTGATAGGATAAATGAGGCCAAAGTATTGTTAAATCAGCTGTACCTTTCCTCGCTAGAAGGGGATTGAAAATAAAAATATCCCCATATAATTACAATTCTTGTGTCAGCGAAGATATATGCGTAAGAACAAGATCCATAGACCAGGTAATGGCCTGTAAATATCTAGGTCACGAGATTCGCATAGGAAAAGATAACCAAATCTTTGAGACTGACTTGGGCAGCCTTCGGCAAGTTGAACCATATTTTTAAATCGTCCGACATACCACTATGTCCAAAAAGAAAAACCTTTAATCAGTGGGTTTTGCCAGTGTTGAGTTACGAAGTGGAAACAAAGATAACAGTGAAAAAGATCCGTGTGGATCAAAGGGCGATGGAGCGTGATATGTTGGGCGTTTCTATACGAGATAAGATCAAAAACCGCCAGCTACGACGAAGATCAGGAGTGGCTGATAATGTAGAGAGAATACCAACACTGAAGTGGAACTGGACAGGTCACGTGGCTCGAATGACAGATAACGGACAAGGACATGGACAAAGCTGATACTGGAATAAAGACCAAGAGATGATGCCTAACGAAGCATAGGTCGTCCACCAACACGTTAGACTGACGATTTAAAATGTTGCCTAGGGAATTGGATGCAAGGGGCACAACATCTAAACAGATGGAGAACTATGAGGGAGATCTATGTCCAGCAGTGGCATAGCGAAGATTGAATGATCTGATGGTGTGAACATACGAAGTATATTTATTTATTTATCTATTTGTGACGATGGCATTAACATATTAACCCTACAACTGTATATTCCATTTCTTTTACCTTATATTACACAGATTATTAACAGTATTTTAAAACCTAAAAATAAAATAAAATATAAAATGGACATCCTTTATAGTACGTCCTATATTAAATAAAATACCTTGGAAACTATATAAATAAGATAACAGCCTCGATAAAATATACAATTGATCATTGTTAACACACATCTGTTACTGCAATGACGATGTTTCTAATATCTATTTTGGCTTCTTTGCCAATACTGTTTTATTTTTTCATAAATTGGCGGTTATCGTACTGGAAAAGAAAAGGAGTACCACAAATCGAGCCCGAATTTCTAGAGGGAAACACAAAAGAGATCAACCGGATGGAAGTCCACCCTAGTGTCGTTTTTCAGAAATTTCACGAATATTTTAAAAACAACGGACATAAATTCGGAGGGGTTTACAAAATACTGACCCCTGTTTTGTTAATTACGGATCTGGAATTGATCAAATCAGTGTTAGTGTCTGATTTTGCACACTTTGTTAATCATGATATTTTCATCAACGAAAAAGGTGATCCTTTGTCTGGAAATCTCTTCAATTTGAGGGACGATAAATGGAGGAATATGAGAGCTAAACTTACCCCAACGTTTACAACAGGTAACTCATAATTTATATACATAAGTCTCGCTAATCAACTTTTGATTCATTTGATATGTATGTTTATATATAAAACGTTTCAGTAAAATCTTATTATGTTATATTTTGCATTCTATGAGAAAAATAAATATGAATGTCTATGGATTTTTCAATTTTAAATGTTACCTTTCACGAGTAGGTATATTGTTCGATTTATTTTCTGTAAATAAAAGTCTTCTTCTTCTTTTTATGTAGATATGAATCTGTTTGTTTTCAATGTTCCTTCAGTAAGTTGCCGTTACTCTTTATTGTCATTCGACGTATATGATCGTTTCATCTTACTCTTTTATTTCTTACCCAGTCCTTGATGTTCTTCACCTTGCGTTAACCTCGTCTATCTGTACTTCTAGCTCTCTCCCATAGTATCTTACTATAAAGTTTTCTCTACTGTTTCTAACATTATTTTTGTACTGTCTGTGTGCAGTCATATTTCTACCGCGTATGTCACTATTGGTGTGATAACTGTTTTGTAAATTCTGCCTTTTATTTCTTTTCGATATTTTTATTTCTCCATATTGTTTCATTCGGACAACCTGCGAATTTGTTTTCTTTATTCACCTTATCTTCTACTTCTGTTTCAAGCTTTCCTTAGCTAACTTTCTTTAGATAACAAGTGTGATGCCTAGATATTTAAACTCCATCACTTGTTCTATTATCTTACCTTACATCCCATTCAATTATGTACATCATAGCTACTCTTATGGCTGTTTTATATAATTTTCTCTTTAGCTTCATTGAAATTTTCTATCACACAACATACGACTTGCTTTCTTCCACTTCAAATATCCAAATTATACTGCATGCATCTCTATCTATATTTCCACATTGATCTGTAATATCGATCGTAGGTACTTAACACTATTACTTTCTACAATCATTTCATCATCCAAAGATATAATTTTATTTGTAGTAACTCCATATTTAAAGGGATGTTAAAAATACTTATTTTTGTCCGAATATACTTTAAACCTCAAGAGTTTGTCTTAACGGTTCCAGTTTTTATTCAGTAGCTTTTAGTATTTTCTACTAACACCACATCATCATCATACATCAAGCATTAGGGACCATTACCCTGTAATTTTGTTATTATCTGAACCAAAACTAATGAGAATAAATAAGGACTAAGCACCAACCCTGTCCTATTTTTACATGAAAATCAGTCTCTCGCAAAACGTTCTAACACTAGTTGTTACTCCTTCATACATGTCTCTCACAATCTTTACATACTTACCAGGTACTCCTTTCTTATCTAGTGCCATTACAGAATTTCTCTAGCAACTCTATCATATTCTTTCTCAAGATCAATGAATACCATATAAGGGGTTTGTTCTTCTATTCATTTACTCTTCCATCAACTGCCATAATAATGAAAATTGCATCTGTTGTTGGTTTGCCTTGCATAACCTTGTAGTTTGTACATTGTTGTTTATCTCTCTTGCTTTTGTAAACAGGTACTTATACACCGCTTCTCTATTTATCAGATATATGTCTTGTTTTCATAATGCTAATAAATAAACCTGTTAGCCAACTTGTTCCTGTCTCCCCTAATGCTCTCCATACTTTCCGAGGAATATCATCTGCTCACTTTCCGAGGACTCCTCTTGTCGGTTTCTGTGCCCCTACTGCATCAGTAAATATACTCTGTTTTTTCTTTCTGTTATACTCTAAAATTCTTCGTAATACCAGTTATTGGTTCTTGTTTTTCTTTATTGACCTTTCATGTCTAGTAATTCTTTAGCTGCTTCTTTCATGATGTTTCTACACCTTTCACACTGTGTATATATGTTTCCATGCTTTAGTCTGTTTTCTACATAGTTTGATGTTGATATTTTGTTTGTATTCTCTATTTTTGTTCATATCATGGAGTCCTTCTACACTGTGTCGTTCATGTTTAGAACCTATTTACTTTTAATGTTTAAAATTCTGGTCCTTACCCTACTTTCGACAAAGTTATGATTAGAATTCGCGTTTGTTCCTCTTTTGGTGCGGACGTTTATTATATTCGATTAGTGTTTTAAGTCTACAATAACATGATTTATGATATTTACTGTCCGTCTGATGATTTCCACATGCCTTTATGTATATATTTTCGAGGGAAATACATATATAATCGATTCAAAGAAAAATACTATAAAAAAAAAATATTTTTAAAATCGGAGCATCAAAAATATTTCAAATTCGTTATTTCTCAAGCACCAAATTTTCTCATTTTGTTGTTCTGTGTTATCATTCCTGTTCCATGCTATGCAAGTTAAACGTTTACTTTGTATTCCAGTTCTTCCTTTCCTTCCTTCTTCCTAGTTTTTATTGACGCTTGTAAATAAAAGTATTTGCCTCGTTGCGTAGTTGTAGAAATCGTTTATTTAGCTGCTGATTCAGCTGTTGATTCATTTGTTGTCTTTATTTTGCTGTGTAAATATATTTCGACATAATGGCATGACATTGATTAATTACACTATTAAATAGACTAACTCTTTTATTTTGACAATCAAGAGAATTAAATTTTTCTTAAAAATAAACTTTGAATCTTGATAACTTCCTTTCGTTCTGTTATTCTACTCAATATTCTGCTGTTACAATGCGACCAGCAAAGAAACAATAGGCGCTGCGCCACGAAATATTTTCTTACACACCGCCAATGATCGAATTCAAAATTTTCGAAAATTCATTATTGGCATGTGATTTCAACTATCTTCGATCATTTACGACTCGTGATTTTGGATGACTAATTTCATTTTTTGTTTGCTAGAGTATAGGATATGTTCATGCTACAGTCTTTATAACGGTTAGGGGTTAAAGTTAAATAATTAAAATATACAAAGGGTAGTGAAGTTATGAAATGACTTATGAACAAAGACTATAGCGGGATAAAATGGTCAAAAGTGCCCCCGCTCCGATCAGCACCGCGACTTGGGCATTTAATAAAGCTTATAAAACATGACTTCATACAAGTCTTTAGCATTAGAAGCTGTCTCAGCTTCTAATGCTAAAGTATCCTCACCTTGATTAAATTTTAACATTCTGTCGATTATTATATCCTGTAACCCTTTATCATTTTGATTACTATTCAAACGCTAAAACTCAAATTCTTGATCTTGTGATAACAAAAACAATATATAATTACATGCTCTAACATACAAATATTGATACATATCGTACTTGATCATTTGAGTTTGAGGTTATCGTAAATGATGGCGGACGCATATGCGCGTCTATATGATAACTTTAATATACTCGATTCTTTCGATACTTTTCCATGTGTTTAATAGTTTTCAAGATCCTCGATAATATTGCAACGGATTTTAGAAGAAAAGGATTATTTGATAATAAGGGTAAGACAGTCAAAGAGATACGAAGGCGACAGCGGCACGAAGGCGATACAAAGGCGACACCAAGGCGAAAGCAAGGACGACAGAAACAATGTCTGCAACGCGTATACTCCCATTGTCGTTGCCATGGTTACAGATCATGCGCGTAGCAGACATGTTTTCTGTCATCACTGCTTTTGTCTTAGTGTCGCCTTCGTATCGTCTTCGTGTCGCCATCGCCTTCGTATCGCTTTGACTGTGCTAGCCTATAGAATACGATACGCCTGCCTCTAGGATATATGGCAATTGCAATATTCAACTCCAAACTTTGATTTGACCAACTACTTCGAGAATTTCAATACGACTCGAGATTTTCGGTATTAACTCGCACACGATACACTTACACTTGTGGGTGTATCGTGAACTCGCAACAGATTTTAGAACAAAGAGATGCTATGTCCCATAGGCGTGCTTTATGATTATCTAGTAACTTATTTATTTTGATTAACATTTGGCACTAGACTATATGTAGGCAATATGCAGTATCAGCTAAGGCTTGTGTCAAAAAGTAATATCAGTGAAAAAGTCATATGCGATTAAAAGCGATAAAAACAATTGTTGAGGAAGCCCTCAGGTCAATCATAAAGCTATAAGTTTTTTTCGAGTTTTGACTATTTGAGAAAAAAAAGACAAGTGGCATAACAAAATTGAAGGGTGCGATTAAAAATACGCGGAAATTCGATCATTTAGCTACTAAATTTTAAGTTTATGAGCCAATAAAGTGGGAAAATATTAGAAAAACACGATTTTTTTCGCAATTTGAAAATGTGTAAGTTAAAAATGATTATTTTCACAATAATGATTCATAGCCCGTAAGAAAATAGATGGAAAAGCATACATAAGATAAAAAGAATAAAAGTGCGAAAAGAATAAAAAACGGGGTAAATTCGTGTAAGAATAAAAAACGTGGACTTAATAGGGACTTTTACAATATATTTTGATAATGTGGAAGAAAAAATGTTAAATTTCCAACTGAGTTTTGAGGTTATGTGCAAATAAATGAGAAAAAACCAGTTTTTTTTTTTCATTTTTCGATGCTTTCCGCTCAGAAATTGAAAATTCTGCCTTCGCTATTTAAAAGAATGAAAAAAAGAAAATACATAAAAATTTACTATTTAAAAGTTAGCCAAAAATTATTAACATAACCTAAAAAATTACCGAATATTTTTCCTGAGTTCAATTTTTAGTATAAAAATTTGAAAAAAATCAGGCTATTTTGTATTCCAAAGATACATCTTCAAGAATTTTTTCAGATTTTTTAAAGCACAATTGCGCCCAGAAAAAAATAAAGTTAAAAAATGCTTTTTTTAGGTTTAAAAAGATCTATAGATTCTGGGAGTTAAAAATTTGTATTTCATGTTAAAGTCATGTTTTTATATGCTTTATTGAAAGAACAAGTCGCGGTGCGGGGGAGCTTTTGACCATCTTATCCCGCTATAGCCTTTATCTCGCTATAGCTATTATTCTAATCATTATCTCGAATATCAACATTACATAACAAACTAGTCAAGAATTGAAGAATTTAAAACTATATGTTTTAAATCAACGTTAAAATGAATACTGGTTGTCGAGAAAGTTCGTATAAGTTTTCGATTACCGAGTTCTCGATTCTTGAAAGAATTCGATTCTGACTGGTGTGTGTCGATAAAAATAACAGTATAAAAATTAAACAGGTGTTTATACAATAATAAAATACTACTACTACTACTAAGGATTTACATAGTTTTCACTGTCTTCCTTCACTCAACCGTTTTCTCCAATTTTCCCTGTCATTCCAGTCTCCATCTCGCAGGGTTCTTTTCTCCATAGCCTCGTCGATTTCGTCTCTGAATGACCTTCAGGGTCTTCCTCTCTTTCTTCTTCCGATCGGGCTCCATTCTGTGATTTTGTTTATCCAGCGTCCTCTGTCCGCTCTTCTGACGTGGCCGTACCAGGATAGTCTCTTCTCCTCTATATAGTTGATTATGTCTGATTGCACTCCCATTCTCCGCTTAATCTCTGCGTTTTCAATTCTGTCTCTTTTTGTAAGTCTACAGCTTCTCCTCAGGAACTCTATTTCTACTACTCTCCTCATTTCTACTACTCTAATTCTACCTCTATTTCTCTTGTTTATTGTCCAGTTTTCGGACCCATATGTCAGGATACTTCTTGTCAGGGTATTAAAATATATATTATATAATATATTGTCAGGGTGTAACAATAAAATACTATGTATAAACAATGATTTGCATCATTAATGTGTAAAAAATTATACAAGTAGATTATTTACAACGAATTTTATGTAGAGATAAGGATTTATTAAAATAGATAAGTGTTTATGACAATCTGTGAAAGTCTCCACTCTTGTGAAATGTTTATAAATAAAAGAGATAAGTTTTAAAAAATTGCTAACTTGGTTTCTAGTGGTCGTAAAAAAAGTTTCTTTTTTTTTTTGGCTAAATGTGTACTTTTCAACCAGATTTTTGGTCCCCCTAATTAAAAATATGTAGAATAAAAAACTAGAACGTTATTGTATTTGTTTATTAACAAAAAACATCGCTTTTTTGACGGCTTATTTAAAAACATATAATACTTTTATGAGACATAATCTACTTTTCTTTATAGTTTTAATATTCACGAATCCATAGCACTTTGTTAGATTACTGTAGAAGCATACTGTATGCAGCAATAATTGATTAAACTTTTGATAACTAAGATAAAAATGAAAACATGTAACAATTACTCCTTAACTATGTAATAAACTGATATGCTTGAAATTTGACACAGTTTGATGGACACATAACAGCATTGCTTTATTATTATAAACATATTAACATTTTTAATATATTTTAATTAGCAATATAATCAAAAAATTCTGTAAAAAAGTAGATACATTTTTCGGCATCTCATTTACCTCATGGTACAATGAACACATTCTACCATGAGGTAATTGTATCCATTGTATCATGTATTTACCTCATGGCTGTGTCAATGCCACGATTTGTTATTTTCTACTATTTTTCTCCCTATTATGTCTTCCAATAATAATTATTATTAATTACGATTTTTTTCTCGTCAATGTTGTCGTAAATGAGTCACTGAACTTTAACATTATGTATGTTATAATCAAATGTTATCAGTACTAGTAAAAGTACTGGTTGAGAGTATTAATCTAAATATTTGTTTTTCAAGTGTTACCATTTGTTCTATAGTATAGCTGAATATAAAAGTCGTCGAAATTGATAATGTATTTGCACAGGTGTTCTCAAAAGAAATCTATAAATAGCCCTTATCATTAGTTTTTGGAAACTAAACTGAAATATGCAAGATAATCACATAAAATTACTAAAAGTGTACAGGTAATTTACGACATCCATATGAGAGATCAGACAAATTTAAATTTATCTACACTTTTTGTAAACTATTTAAACAAATGTTTATGTTTTTATGAGAAGAATATATATATATATATATATATATATATATATATATATATATATATATATATATATATATATATATATATCGTCATATATAGCGATATATCGCACCGTTTCCATCCCTCTCTGTTGTCCCATTCTCCATCCTTTATTCCTCCCTTATACTCATGACTTCGTCTACTTCGTTCCTCCAGGATCTTCGGGGTCGTCCTCTTTTCCTCCTTCCTATAAGGCTCCATTCGGTTATTCTCTTTATCCATCTGCTGTCGCTAGTTCTTATTACATGCCCATACCGCTTTAGTCTTTTTTGTTCTATATATGTTATGTATGTCTGTTTCTATTGATGCTTTGATGATTCTTTGCTTTATTTCGTCATTACTTCTCCTATCCATTCTTGTTACTCTGCAGCATCTTTGCAGCATTCCATCTGTGTAGCTACTATTTTTCTGCTGTTTTTCTTGTTTATAATCCAATTTTCAGCCCCATGTGTCATAATACTTCGCACTAATGTTTTATAAATCTGTGTTTTTGTCTTCATATTTAGGTGTCTATCCCAACATACTTAGTTAAGTTGTCGGATTGCTGTTCTTGTTTGTTCTAATCTTTGCGTAATTTCTTTCTTTGTTGTTGCCTCTTTCGTGATTATAAACCCCAAGTATTTGAATTAATCTATTCCTTTGATTTTTACGTTGTCATCAATCTGTAGATCTTCTATGTCTTCTTCACTTGTAGATAGGTACTCTGTTTTCGCGAGGTTAATATCTAGGCCAGCCTTGGTATATTCTTCTTGTAGTTTCTTCATCATGTAACTGAGGTCCTCTTGGTCTTGTGCAATCACCACTTGATCGTCTGCAAAGCTTAACGTATATAGGTATTTGTTCCGTACCGATACTCCCATGCCTTCATGCAATGAAAAGAATAACAAGAGTTTTACAAATTTATTTACACTTTTGTCGTATATTTTTATTTACTAAGAATTAAAGAAAAAATTTTTTTTAGAATTTTTGTCTGCTAAGTTAAAACAATTTAGACAAGGCGAAAAGTTTGTTCGGAAAAATATTCTCAATTTAAAGCTTTTTCTATCATTCCCTCGTAAGAATTTTGAGCTTATTTAATTTTAAATTAGTGTTTTTAATCGTATAAGAGAGTGAAACTAATTGGAGATATAATAAGAGACTGAATATGGCTCAAAATTTTGCTGGATTGAATTCTCATTGTACAAATCAGCGCCCGTCCTGCCATGTGCGGTTTTTGGGTTCGTTTTTTTAAGCTTTTTTGATCATTATGCACAAAAAAGATATGTTGTAAGTTTTTTCAAAAGCCATAAATAAATTAAAACTGAAAAAAAAAACCGCAAAATTACGATTTTCAAGGCTGAAAACCACAAGTAAAAAATAGTCAAGTTCAAGTTTTATTCAAGGTGAAATTAATCTCTACAGCTAAAACTATTGACACAATAATAGTTTATTTCAATAAAATTGATTCAAATACTGGCCTAACTTTCCCCTTCTCTCTCCCACTCTTTCTCTTTCTCTTTCTCTTTCTCTTTCTCTTTCTCTTTCTCTTTCTCTTTCTCTTTCTCTTTCTCTTTCTCTTTCTCTTTCTCTTTCTCTTCCTCTTTCTCTTTCTCTTTCTCTTTCCCTTTCTCTTTCTCTTTCTCTTTCTCTTTCTCTTTCTCTTTCTCTTTCTCTTTCTCTTTCTCTTTCTCTTTCTTTTTTCTTTTTCTCTTTCTCTTGCTCTTTCTCTTTCTCTTTCTCTTTCTCTTTCTCTTTTCTCTTTCTCTTTCTCTTTCTCTTTCTCTTTCTCTTTCCCTTTCTCTTTCTCTTTCTCTTTCTCTTTCTATTTCTCTTTCTCCTGCTTTCTCTTTCTCTTTCTCAATGAGCTATATATTACTACTGTTCTAACCATTGTTCTCTATATTTGGATCTTCCGTGACCTCGACAGCATCTTTGATTTCAGTATGTCTTGTAATACACAGAAGCCTACCTTTCTGTATTCGTGTCCATATTTCGCTGTTTCTGTAAATACCACAAAAACTTTCTGTGGTAAGCATGTTGAAAGATATATAAGACATACCTTAAGACTTCCAAGAATAATTTCCAATGCAATACGTTTGGTAAAAGTATTTGGTAAAAATTTCAACACTTACAGTCAGTCTTTTAGGAAATTTCCAACGGAATGTACTGAATATAAAATCTAATATGAACGATTTTTGAAATCTTAAAACTGATTTTTAATTTTTAGGTAAACTGAAAATGATGTTCCAAACCATGTTGGATGCATCATCCGGTTTGGAGAAGATGTTAGATCAAAACCGCACATCTAAAGAACCGGTCGACATTAAAGACTGCTTAATGCGCTTTACCCTAGATATAATTACTTCTGTAGCATTTGGAATAGAATCTAATAGTATGGACAATCCCGACTCCGAATTCAAAGCTATTGCTAGTAAATTATTAGGTGCTCCTGCACACGCAACACAAAGCCGTACCATACTTTCGGAAATTAAAAGAAAACTGAAGCTTACAGTAGATCTGGTGCCTGAATGGGTGTGGATCAAGCTCAACACTAGATTGATGCCTCAATTTCTGGAGGATTTTTTCATAAAAGTTGTAAGTGATCTGGTAACTTACAGAGAAAAAAATAACATATATCGAAAAGATTTCATGCACCTTCTAATTCAGTTGAAAAATATAGGAAAGGTAACCGATGATGGAACAATCAAAAAAGATTCCAGTAAAGATTTTCATCTCACCATGAAAGAAATTACTGCTCATAGTTTTGTTTTCTTTATTGCCGGCTTTGAAACTTCATCTACAGCAATGACATACGCTTTGTTCCATTTGGCTCAAAATCAAGACATCCAGGACAAGGCTCGGGATGAAATCAATGCAGTTTTGGAGAAACACAATGGCGTTGTAAGTTATGATGCGATTATGGAAATGCAGTATTTGGAACAAATTATACTTGGTAAGTGATAGTAAATATTTTTAGTATTTACTTAGAGTTACTATTTTCTATAAAATCAATGAGATATATTACAACTAAATTTGGAAAGAAATGTAAATTAAAAATATTAGACAATGGGCCAGTTTGGGCATTCACACAGTTTTCATATTGCAATTGTTACATTAAATAATAATACTTATAGTAAAATATAAACCTAAAACATAAGGGAACTAAAAATGCGTATAAACCACCTTTTTAGAAAGAAAAAAATGGCACCTGAATGGGTAAACCTCTGCATGTTACATCCCAATAAAGTCAGCCAAGACTATATCGTCAATATGGCGCCGAACTATTTTTTGACATCGGGGAAGATGCTCCCTAAAACAGAAGGTTCCTTACTCGCCATTAAGCAATAGGTTATTATAACCAAAAATTACCTAAAATATATCATCAAAAACCCTCAGATTCAAAACTATAAATACCGATAGGGATGTCAAGCCCACGAAACCATTCAATATATTACCGAGGACTTCCAAGCATTTGCTATAACTAATGATAGGGAAAAGGCATGACTTAGTAGGAAAGATTCTTTATCAAAAGATAGCTAATAAACTTGTCTCCGAACCAACTATCTTCCATATTATCAATACTTTCCTATACAGATTATGTTTGGGAATGCCAATTACAATCTATATCTGAACAGCATTGTGCTTACATGCCAAACAGTGTTACAAAATAGATCAGATCTCATATTAGATATTATATTAACTAGACAAACAACACTAATTAATGTGGCGATACCTAACAAGAGCAACAACAATAATCTTCTTGTTTAATGCAATTAAAATATCGTCAACAACAGAGATCTGGAGATACAAATAAGAAGACAATGGTAAATGGAAAAGACCCAGACAGTACTCTGGTTTTACTCTGGTATGAGTCAACATCTGTATTAGACCATGCAGAAGGCTGTACTTCTATCGACAACCAGATGATTACTAAAATGTTGGGGAGATACTCCAGCTAGTGCTAGATGAATCTAGAGATAATACGAAAAGAGTCCCACCAGAGCTAAATCTGGAACATAGAAACATAGAACATATAACATTTAAATTATTATTCTAACATCAAAGGTTACAGCTTTGAAGCCAATCTCTTGCGTTGGAAGTGACTTGGAGGATTTCTTGTAGGCTGCCTGCGAATTTGGTAGCTGGTCATTCTAAGACAATGTAGTTGTTGATTCAGCAGCGCTGTATTGGTCCTATTCCGGACTGATATTAATACTTAATTGGTTCAGTGATTTGTTACGAACTCGTGTTCGATTTAAGTTGCACTATCTACGACGAGAGAGAGAAAAGTTTCTGGTGCTGGTTTAATTGTAGGGTTGTTTATGAGGTTAGAGTTTCTTATGTTTGGACCCTATTTGTCCACTTAGTGCTTGTTAGTAGTGAAATTAACCAATTTTGTAGCAGTTCTAATAAGTGGAGGGGCACCATTTCTTATTGTATACCGTCTTTTTAACCAAAGGGGAGGTTTCCATAAAGAACAATTTTAAAGTCCGGCTTCAGTCTGGTAGAGGTATCTTGGTCAGGGTTGACAGGGCTAGACTACAGAAGATAAACGAGTGAGATGGAGAAAGAAACACAAAAGAGAAGAGAATTTTGGGCACCACTCTATTTTTTTAAAGGAATAGGGAAATCTAGCAAATAAGAGAATGGACAAAAAATATGATAAGAACGATAACGGAAAAATTACAAAATGACGAGAAAGAAAAAAAAATAAAACAAACTTTTACTTTTTCGTGTCTGGATCCAACTACAGTTTTTCTGCCCAATATCGGACTACGTCTACACCCTTTGTATTTGCGAGCCATAAGTAATCGAGGGTGCGCTGTGATGGGCAAAGTCTGCATACTCTCAGCCTCAGGTGCTCCACGTTCTGTATTTCCCCACATTCACAAAGTCCGTCGCTATCTGTCTTGATGCCATATTTAATGAGGTTCTGTTTTACAGGGACAACACCTGTGTGTATGCGGTCAGGTTCTCCAGTCCAGGTTCATTCCATTAGGTCGTTCTGGATGTAGGGGGAACAGTTCAAGTAGTTCGACGCTGACATTTCTCATGAACCTTTTCCTTGATTTAAGTCGGCTGATTCCTGGCGGTTCGTCAAACCCGTTTAATTGATGCCTTTCATCGAAAGTTTGCCTAAACTTCTCCACATCCATCACTTCATCTCCACACAACTACCCAGTACAGTAGGGGTAGAAGGGTAGGCTTCATACAACCGGTAATTATTCTACATGTTTCATTTAACGCTGTGGTGACTTGTTGGGCGTATCTAGATCTACCCCAGACGGGACAAGCATATTTCTCTGTTGAGAAACATAAGGTCTCAGCTGTTCACTACAAGACCTGGGGGTTTGTACCCCACTTGCTTCCTATAAGTTTCCGGAGAAGGTTGTTTCTCGTAGAAACCTTTTGTCTTGTGCTCTGACTATGTAATTTATACGTTAGTGACCGGTCTAGAATCACTCCAAGATATTTTAGCTTATCAGGATGTTCCAAACGTTGTCCCTCCCAAGAAACATTCAGTTTTACATGCGCCAGTTGGTTGTTGAGATGAAATGCACATACTTGGGTTTTAGTAGGGTTTGGCTTTAATGAGTTCTGCTTGTAGTAAGTTGACATCATGTTTAAAGCCTCTTCCATCGTCGACTGTACTTGTGTGATTGATTTTCCCTGTTCGGCTATATATATATATATATATATATATATATATATATATATATATATATATATATATATATATATATATATATATATATATATATATATATATATATATATATATATATATATATATATATTAAATCAATTAAATCAAAAACAATACGAGAAAGATACAGACGGTTACTAGTCTGGAACAAAATAGTAGTGAGGAATTTAATTATATCACGCGATAAGCACTAACAATATGGCATAATCATGGACGTATAAATAATTATACGTTCATGGACATAATATATACAATACACATATCGTCGTGGTACATACAACAGGTTAAATGTCGATTAGGTGCAATTTTACAGGAAGGACTAAAAACTGATTTTTCGTTTTTTAGTTAGTTAAATTAATATGTTTTATGACCAGGAAAATTGTTTTGAAATTGAGTATGAATTTATAATAGATTACAGGTCGTTGACTTTACAGTTTTATATTATATAAAACCATTTTGATGACATATAGATGAAATTAATTTCAGAATAGAAGTACGGAAATAAAATCGTGTAGTCATTAACGTTTTTATTTATTATATAAGAGTAAAGATCAAATTAATTTGTAAGGTAATGTCTGTGTACAAGTCGAGATGGTTTGTTAGTGACTCCAGACGTTTTGATCTTATAGGTAAATCAGCCCATTCGTCTTGGAAGCACAGTTTGTAGCGAATAATGCCATTATGGGTATACTGAAAACCAACCACATGATTAACACAGGTATGGCCGGCTTTGTTGCCAAGGCGAGTAGTTTTGTAGTATATTGGTTCAAATGCATAAAAATCATCATTACTACAATAAATTGTTTCATAGGGATTCGGTCGTTGTTTCGAAGATTGAATTATTGGAATGTAGTCTGCTAGTGTATAGACCTCTCTACGATTGCACAATTTTTTTTAAAACACTCGAATGAGTAGAGTCTTCTTCCATGAAGTGTGTCCAACTTCCAAGTATTTTCGTTTAATAATTATTTCAAGAAGTGCATTAGAAATCTTGGTATTTCGGTTCTGGTAACCACATCGATCAGTCCAAATCGTAATTGTTTCTGGGTATCGTTTTTCTTTTACCGCTTTTACCCAAAAGCAGAACTTATGGGCAAAATATATTACAAGCCTCTGGTGGTAGAATTTTAAGTGATATTAAAGAGCGCTGTACCGAGTGGGAAAATTACATAATAGAATTATTTAACTCTTACCAAAGAATCTACCAAGAAATAACATCTAACCGAGATACAGGTCCACCGATTCTAATCTCAGAAGATCAGAAGGCTATCGACCAAGCGAAACGAAGGAAGGCTTCTGGTCCTGACGAAATACCTGCAGAATTGTTAATACTATTTGATAATGAGAGTGTTGCGATTATCACATTCTTCTTTAATAAGATATACAGCAGCGGCAAATTACCAGACAACTGGTTAGAATCGATATTTATAACTATTCCCAAGCAAAAGAATGCCAGACAGTGTAGCGACTATCGACTTATCAGTTTAAGTCACATGCTCGATGAAGTATCTACATGAACTTCACTTAGAGTCGTACGTTGCCATGTTATCAAAGACACTGGTAACTTTAACATCTTAATATATAAGATCAAATAATGTAAACTAAATTTAAACCTAAACTTTTAACGGGTTTTCACCCAGATATTTAGTGGCTCAAAACATGTATTTAAGTTTAAACAATTTTAACGTCTTTTTTATTCAACGTCATTTTATTATTAAACAATCATCTAAGTGATTTTATTTTTTTTAGAATCTCTTAGAATGCATCCCCCAGTATCACAAATCGAACGTTTGTGTACTAAGGACTATGTAATACCCGACACTGATATTTTAATAGAAAAAGGAACAATACTTAATATATCAACGCGTGGAATTCACTACGATCCTGATATCTACTCCCACCCGAATGTGTTCGACCCTGATCGATTTAGTCCAGAAAATAAGAGTTCGATTTCTCCGATGGCCTTTTTGGCATTTGGTGAAGGACCTAGGCTATGTATAGGTAAGGACGGTCTTTAACAATATTTTATATAATTTTAAGGCTTTGAACACCAGCTTCATAATAGTAATATAAACATAATATCATATACATTCACACCTTTACATAAAACACTAAAAAGTGTTGTTTACAAAATCATGTTGTTAGCTAACTTAAATAAAAAAAAACTGCCGACTTTTTGTCTCCAGTTAATGCCGTGGGTGGTTTTTCCTATATTTCAAATGATCTGAGTTTATACTTAAACATTTTTATGTTTTAAAACAATTCGTCCATTTGCGTTTTTAGTACAACTTGTTTATTTTTAGGGTTAAGATTCGGAAAGCTGCAAGCCAAAGTAGGATTATCTTCCATATTAAGGAAATATAGAGTAACTTTGAATGAAAAGACACAGTTACCGTTGAAATATAGCGCAGTAAAACATTTTCCCAATGTCGAAGGTGATGTATGGGTAAACCTTGAATCCCTGGAATAAAATCTAACCATTCAGCAACATAAACAAAGTATTGTTATCAGATTAGTATTAATATCAGTGAATAATAGTAAAATAGGTTTTTAATAAATAATATATTTTTTTACAATAAGTTTTTTTAATCTTTAACTTACCGTATAAACATTGTGAACCATTCTCTGCAAATATTCGATATTCTCTGCCATTAACACGGTGTCATTAACATGGACTTCATGAACGTAAGACGGAAACATAAAACAAACCCAATAAAATATAAACAAGTCAATAAAATCATTAGAAAAAATGCAGACAAGCTAAAGAAAACTGGATGTCAACCAAATGCCTAGAAATTGAACAAATTCAGGAAAGATACGACACATAAAAAGTGATAATTATAGGTACAGAAGACAAACTAAAGAGATCGAAAGAATACATTCAGATACTTTTTGACGATGATAGACCTTGTTCTCCACCATCCACGGATGGTTGAATAAATGAAAAAGGTCCAAAAATAACAAAAGAAGAAGTTATTTATGTATTAAAAGCTCAGAAGAACGGAAAAGCCATCGGCCCAGACAATATTAATGTCGAAATACTTAAATTAATTGCAGAAAATTAAAGTAAAAACATCGACTCAATAATAACACTATTTAAGATATATGACACAGGTAAAATACCTGGCTAAAATAAAATCAGACTAGCTAAAATCAACATTTATAACATCAACAAAAAAATCCAAAGTCTCACACTGCGATGACTATCGAATATTAAGCATGATGTCTGATGTCCTTAGAACTTTTCTCAGAATCATTCATATACGAATTTACAAGAAGTGTTAATTTCAGATGAGTGACACTCAATTCGGATTTTGAAATGGATTGGGAACACGAGAAGCTCTTTTTGCCTTAAATGTGTTAAGGCTCATCCTCGAAAATCCTAACGGTAAATTTCAGTTTGCTATCTCTATTTCAAAAATTTCTTTCTTTACGAAAACAAAATCTGTTCATGAAGTAATATTCTAAACTTCGTTTAGATATCTCTCTCAAGCCCAGGTCAAAAATGCGTTCATCTTTTACTCGAGCCGAATATACACCGGGACAACCCCTGCAGTGACAGGTTTTGGCTTACAATAAAACCATAAATCTCTTCAAAGTAATAAATAAAATCTATTTATAAATTTACAATGTAACAAATGTACATACATAATTTATTTGTTATTTTTTACGGAAAAATTGGCTGTCTGAATTTTAACGTAGATTAAAATTTACGGAAAATAAAAATTATAAAAAAAGATTATTATTATATATCATAAAAATTTGATTAGTATCACGATCATTAAAATTGATAAAATGAAACGATATAAATATTGAATTATGTCTAATGTTTCTTCAGAAGGTGTTTCATATAAAAATTATAATAAAAATCTTGTAATTTTTGTAGCATATTTTCCCACAGTTCCATATATTTATCAATCTTTTCGAATAAAATATTTTTTGGTGTCCATACCGCAAACTAACAGTATTCTCTATTCGATATAAATAACAAAATAACTGTCCTTGCACTGGATAGTAATAGGAATCAGCTATTTTTAAAATTTCCTGAAGAAAGGAATAATTTAGTCACGCTATCATTTCCAATTTTGATTTTTGATATTGAATTTGATAGGTTGTGGTTTATTACACCAAAATCTAATAAAATATAACATGACACAAGAAATAGTTTCAGAATAAGTTTGATGTGTTGTTTATTAATATTCAGTAAGAGACTAATTTACTTCTTACAATGCTAATCTAACAGACAATTATTATTGTCAAATGAAAGAAATAAGATAATTTACTTGTATGCTTGTGGTTAGTAAACGTCGGTCCTATGCAACTAATTGTCAACAAAGAACGGATTACAAAAGTTTAGATTTATGAGATTTATGAGGAGCATTTATGAAACTTAGATGTATACTGAGTACTTATTTCAAAAATTTACAACAAGGATTTAATTTGTTATATGTAAATATACTCCTAGATCTAGAGAAAATGGGAGAGCGACAATGGGAATTACTGGCACAGGACAGACAAACATGGAAGACAATAGTAACCGCGGCAAAGACTTACGAAGAGTTGTAGCGCCATTGATGATGATGATGAAATATACTGTATAACTATTTATACGGATGTGAAATATGGATCATGAAGGATAATATGATGGACATTTTAGGATGTACGTTGAAAAATTAAGGCAAATATCGAGCACAAATTTAATAAACAAATCTTGCCCAAGTACTTTCGCTTTCTACAGCATCATCAGGGGCATCTGAAATAAGCCAAGAAAAGTTTTTTAAATGAAGAAAATTACTAAACTTCGATAAAAAACTCGAAGTTAATGGATGATAAAAGTTTTTTGTGATTTTAGACTTACTTCGTCAAATTTCGGTTATCCAGCAAGCGCAGATGCCCCTGATGATTCTGTAGAAAGCGAATGTACTTGGGCAAGATTTGATTATTAAATTTGTGCTCGAAATTTGCCTTCATTTTTTAAAGTTCATTTATTCGAGCATTCAACCTTATATCAATAATTTAGGATGTGACTCAGGTATATGATAAAGTATGGCAAAGACGCCATAACTATAAACTAAGACTACATTTACCAAAACGATACTCTCAAATAATTGACTCCTGCATCTTGGAAAGATATTTTAGAATTAAACAGGAAGAAACATACACGGAATTTAAAGATATTACAGCAGGGCTGCCACAAAGAAGTGTCTTTACCTTTTGTATACGTGTTATATTATTGTCCTAGAAAATATACAATTGCAACATTTATCGAAGATATTGCTATCATAGCAATATGCAAAACCACCGAGGAAGCGACAAACAAATTACACAGATGTTAATCAAATATATACTCCAGGGAAATAAGCAAAAAATAGACCATGTTCGTGACACTCAGGTCGCTGACAACTTTTTTAGTTATTGTAGACCTATAGGAAAAAAACTTACTTGTTTCTTGCTTTGAATTTGGAGCTGTTTTTTAATTATTGACAATTTAATGCAAAAAACGCGATGGTTTCTATGATTATTGATACTAGTATTAAAAAAAAAATAGATTTATGGAAGAAAATTGTTTTTGCACGAATTGTTTAAACAAACTAGACTATTAATTAATTAATTAATATATAACCAAATTACTAATTTCTGATGTACTTAGAAATTACATACAAATTAAAAAAAGAATTATCAAAATCCATTGAGTAGATCCGGAGATATAGAAAATTTTATTAGTTTGAAATTGCTTGTTCGGTATGGATTTGTAGGTTCTTCCTAGTCACCATTTGAACTACATTTTTGAAAATTCGTAGAGGGTCCTGTAAAGGTACAATGTTTGTGCAAATTTTTTAACAAAAAACACAAATCCCATTCCTTAACATGGCAATAATGAGGTTCCTTAATTATTATAATCTAATTAGCTGTGAATTATCATCTTTTCTTTGACTTGATCTACTACTTGTTGTAATTGGTCGTAAAACACTTCTCTTGTTGTTTGAGGCTTATTATTTTCTGGGCCATATACTCCGGTAATGTTCAGGTTTTCCTTCTCCATTCTTATCTTTGATGTTACTAATCTTTCTGATATGTATTGACACTCTTTGATGTAATTTTGATACCTTTGGTGTATTAGTAAGGCTACACCTTCTTTGGCCCTGTTTTCTTTTGCTACTCCACTGTAGATTAGTATGTATTCACCTAATTTTGATTGACCTTTTCCTTTATTTTTTGTTTGCTGTAGAGCACAAATATGTCTATTTCTTTCTCTTGGGTTATTTCTTGGTCCCTTGAGTTGAGTGATCTGATATTCCAAGTAATTCTCATCTGGGTTTTGGATGTTTTTCGCTTGTCCTTATTTCTTGCCGTAGTCGTCTTCATAGTATCAATCCGGTTCCGAGACTGTACATTGTTTCTTTGAGCAGTATTTGATTTTACGATTGGTAGGTTGCTAACCAATAAATATAAATAAATAAATTTCATATTTAAATACAGCAAAATATTTGGTTATTACTCTGAGCTCATGTAAAGAAGAAAAGAAAAGAATAATTCTGATTGAAATACAAAAAAAATGTACTGGATGATTGACCAAAACTCTACGCTGTCTCTATATGATAAATTATTATTATATAAGCAAATAATAAAACAATAGTATTATTATAAAAATAGTATAAATATTTAGAAGGAAAATGTCACTATTCAACAGAAAATATTTCTATTCATATAAAAATTTAATAAAATTATAGGTACTTACTGCTTATTTATATAAAATTTCCTATTTTAAATACAATAAACACACTGGTTTGTCAAAAGTCGGAATAAGCCCTAATAATGTTATTCAACTTTATTTATCCTCCTCCGAGGGTTTTACCTACCTGGCGAGAATCCAGAAGCTACCGACAAGGACAGCCTGTGCTGACGGAGAGAAAATTGCATTTAGCAGAAATTAGAAATTTTTTAAAAGTTTATATCAAATAACTGTTTTGTGTTACACTTTATGTTAAAAATAAAAACAGATTCGGAAAGTGGGTCAAATTCTGTAGTGCCCTATTTCAAAAAAAAAAAAATTTTACGTTTATTTTAACCAAAAATATTTGAAAAAAAAATTGTTTAAACAATTTATTAATTTACAACCAAATAGAACTTTTTTAGACCTTTCATATAAAAAAAGAATCATCTCAATATCTGCCATAGTTTTTGCGTTATTAGATTAAACTTTTACATTGGAATTTACCTATGCCCAGAATCGCGAGGATTACAGAGACATGAATGTAGATGTATACAGTTTGATGCAAATGTATGGAATAAATTCATTAATATAGAAACAGATGACTTTTAAAAAAATCTTAAAATACGTCAATTTTAATTTTGGCATGACCATCAACTATTATATATGTGTTGGACATTACGTCATCGTTTTATTACAAACCGAGGTCACGCGACAGCTCATTTGAAAGGTCTCCTTATCGTCTTTGCAACGATGTAATCGCTTGAATATTTATTTTTACAAGGTGCACCAAAATTATGAACTTTGTTAAGTTACATGGAATTACAATAAATATTCATTCACTGAATTAAAATATATTAAGGAACGCCACTGGAAATAAAACAAAATAGTGTTTTTTGCTGGTTCCAAATATACATATATATATATATATATATATATATATATATAATATATATATATATATATATATATATATATATATATATATATATATATAATATATATATTGATAACAAACAATGCTTTATAATCTGAAATTAATTATTGTAGTAAGTATTTCAAGTTATCTTTCAAAAATATTTTAATCTATATTGTCCTTGACTCGTCTTTATTTGTCAATGATCTGTGAATCTGAAAAATAATAGAGGTCAAATTTTTGCTCTTCGAGTTTTTTGCCGACATTAATAACAATATTTACAAAAACGAAACACTAACAGAACAGAATCAATCAAGGTTTTAATCATGAGTGGTTATGGAGATCGAGTGAGGACTCAAGCAGAAGTTCGTAATTTATATAATGCTAAATACCCCAATCCCGAACCAATTACTTAATCAATAGTACGTAAAATTGAAAAAAAAATAGAAAAACGGGCCATGTTAAAGATCTTCCCTAAAGTAAGATGACTTCTGATGGAATAATCGAATTCTGCAAAACCGTTATGGAAAAATGTAACAGAGATCAGGGTTTCATACAAAAAATACCTACATTTTTCTAAAGAAGCATCTTTTATGCTGAACGGTCACGTAAATCGCCAGCTATATCGATACTGGGAAAGTGAAAATTCACATTGGATGGAAGAGTATAGGACACAATATCGCGAGAAGGTGAATATTGGTGTCGGCATTATAAACCATCAAATTGTAGGGCCATATTTTTTTGAGGAAAACTTAAGTGCTTCTCGTTATCTAGAATTTCTTCTGGATTATCTGTTGCCTAAGCTGAAAAATATGTTTCCAAATAGAAATGATTTGTGATACCAACATGATAGGGCTCCCACACAGTACGGCATTGAGGTACGAAATTACGTTAATACCGTTTTACCAGGTAGATGGATATGTAGAAGGGGGCCTATCGAATGGCTACCAAGGTCTCCAGATTGGATTCTGTTAGACTTTTTTTGTGGGGATATTTAAAGAGCAGAGTGTATTAAAATCGACCGTATAATGTAAAAGAGTTGAAGGAGCACATCAAAACGGAAATTTCACAAATAACACCTGAAGTCATCGAAAACGTTAGAAAAAAATTTATTGTCCATCTTTTACATTTTATTATTGCTGAAGGTCGTCAGTTTGAAAATTTTTTGTAATTTAATTGTATTTAAGTAAACATTTATTGTAAGTTAATTGTATTAACAAACCAAAAATTTTGGTTAACCCTTTAGAAATAAATATTCAAATGATTATATATGCAAAGGCGATAAGGAGACCTTTCAAATGCGTTGTCGCGTGACTTCGTTTTGTATTTAGAAAAATCGTCGATTACGTCATTACGCCGACACTGATGACGTAATATCCAATACATATATAACAGTTGATGGCCATTCAAAAATTAAAATTGACGTGTTTTAAGATTTTTTTTAAAGTCATCTGTTTCTGAAATCATGAATGTATTCCATACATTTGCATCATACTGTATGTATATTTTATTGGTTACCGAAAAACATTTGTCTGCGTTAACCATCAAAAGATGATCGAAATTATGAGAACAACTGGAATTGACGAACAAGACTTGCGAATTATCTCAGACTATATTGGCATCAAACGGCAACAATTGAAATAGAGCACACAACATCCGAAGATATACGAATCCGACGAGGAGAGGAGTGTGACAAGGTTGCGTCTTATCACTACTATTTTTAAATCTGTATTCGGAATATACATTCAGAAAAGTATTAGACGTTGGTCGAGCCGTACTCTGTTAAACGTATTTTGATGATCTGTAAAGCAAGAATATTAGTTATTCATACACCAAGGCTGGTATTAAGATAATTTTGCCCGGAGAGCAACATAATCCAGCCATAGAGCCTCTAGCCCGAGGAATGAATGTTGCTTAATGTGCGTAATCATTTGGTAACACCAGTTATACATACAAGTTTTTATTTTCACTTCACCTACAAAATATATTGCCTTGATTAAAATATCTACAATTTTTTTTTAGTATAATTAGCGTGTAAAAACCCAAAAAAATCATTCAGAGGCTTGCTCGTTTCCAGATATGTCAGGTAAACAAAAGGTAAAACAGTGCTTGAGAGCACGTATGGTCGAATATAAGAGCATCTATACAAGACCAGAGTAAGATAAAATCATCAATAAAAAATGTTGTTTATTAATTGATAAAAGAATAATATAATAAATGGATGAAGATAAATGGCAAAAGATAAATGAAATGAATTATTTTTTAGTGTGGTAATCGAAAAAATAGTTTTTGGCGTTGGAACAGCATACATGGAGATCGCATTTTGAGCAAACACACTACGTTTGTGACTTCTTGCATTATTTGCACCATCTCCTTCCACCTTCTTTGCAGAGCCAGATTGGGAAATGCTCTTGACCATCGTAACGCACTTCAGGAAGTGGATGTTTCGACCAACGCTCGAGCTGCCTGGCTATGGATCTACGGAAGTTGATGGTTTTGGACGACCAATGCGCCGTTGTTCTTGGTAAGCTACCAGGGAAGTGGCAACTGCTTCACGAAATGGTGGTAATTGCAATACCTGTTATTTCTCCGCGACAGTAGTTGAGTGGTTGACCGTTTCCGCGTGGATTTGTTTCAAATGAAATCAAATCAACCAATTTCTTAGTGAAAAAATACCGAAATAGTTCTATCGGTGTCTTAAGCTCTTTTATGGATGATGGTATGCTTGAGTCACCCCGAAAGGCTACTTGACTAATATGCAAACGCATTGATTGTTTTCGCCATACGATTTTGGAAAACTTTGCCGAATTTTTAGCTATTGATTCAATACCTGCGAAAAAGTTATAATACCAGTTTAGGAAACTCATCAATACTCTTATGTCAATATCAGTCATTGTTTTACCTACATTATCCACTATCCTTCGTTGCAATAAATTTGTCACCCACCAACGTCTCTTCCTTCTTTTCTTTTTGAGTGTTTGAGATAAAATAATAAAGGCAGCACTTGCAATTATAATATTGCTGTCAGAGTCGGACATAGTGACACAGAATTGACACAAATGAGGTATGAGCATTCGTTGGATCTAAATATTGTGCAGAATTCTAGTTCTTGATTCTCATTCTTGCTCGTTGAGATATTTTGGTGTAAACGCTGAAAATAGCTTATGTAGATCAAGAAAGAATACTCTTGTTCTAGCTCTAGCTCTTTATTCGTTTGGTTTAAACGCACCTTTAGAGAAAATAAAACTAGTTGATTTCAGTATATATATTTATTTTTTTTAATCATCGCTTAACAAAATACCTATCATGAGGATTATTTTTTAGGTGTATTTGACACGTTAATAAGAAATGTGTAAGCGGAAAATGCCACTTTTAGAACCTAAAAGACAAAAAATACACATAATATTAAATCAATAATACCTATCTAAATATTTAATAATACTTGTGTATGAATTTCTATAGTTAATCGGTCTGAAATTATTAAAACACTTCAATATTTTTTGGATGATTCGACTAATTTTCATTTTCAGTATAGTAGACGTTTTAATATTACTTTATAATTATTGAAACTATAATTTTTTTATTTAAAACTGGATTCATAGAGAAATATATGAATTTTTATTTTCATTTTTAAAAACAAAAATATATACACGGGAATCCGTTCCCGATATTGAACAGTACACAACGATGTAAATCGGTCCTGAATAATTAGCTATTATTAACAATCAAAACAAAAATCAAATATTTTTTAACATTTCTAAAACTCTAAGTTTGTAGTGCATCTAACACAGGGCCACCTATTCCGAAGTGCAAATTCGCGTTAACCTTGCGCAGCGACGTCACTCGCAGCTTAGTATTCACATTGCTCTTAATTGTATACATAAGCACTCGTAATTTAGTCATCCTAAATATGGATATTTTGCATATTATTTTACTGTCTTCATACATTTGAAATAAAAACGAATGTTTATAATGTTTTCTTAGTCAAATATATTTAATTTTTATGCGAATTAGAACAAATAAGGTATTAGTATAAAAATATAGCTACTTATTTAGGTACCTACATACTTCCACTTTTTATAAACTTTTAAGAAGGAACAAAATTTTTATATTATACATAATTGGTAAATATATAGTTAAGTTTAAATACTTAAAACAACCGTCACTTACACAAGTCAGATGCCAATTTTGAAAATAAATATTACGATCGCGTTAATATTCTTGCTAAATAACTATATATAAAGCAGTTTTAAAACAATTTGCGTTTAAAAATATAATACTATATACATTATGCAATAGTTGTTTATATTTTTCTTTTATTAGTACGTGCTAAAATAATTTTTTTATTAAAATCTTTTATACGGAAGTAGGTACATACGCGATCGAAAAAATATTTTCTTAGCATCTTGAGGACAATCAATATTAACACTTGCAGATAACAGACTTGAAACATATTGTTTGCCAGTAAATATGGTATCTCCATTAAAGTTTTATCCATTCATATTTATAAATTCATTAGAAGTTTTACATAGTCCACCTTCTGTCAAATGATTGGTTCAGGTGTAAGACGTCGAACTTGGGTTAGTTAAATTTTGTAACTTGCCTTTAAGCTTGCTACAAATAAATCCTCCTAAATGTTCTAGTCCATCATATCTTAAATCATCGAGTTCTTCACAGAGGACTATGTCATCTCCATCCGTGGGATTGGTGTCAATGATTGTTTTTTTAAAGCAAGCTTTTCTACCATACTACCGCTCATAGTTAATGTAGGAGTACCATTGTCTTCTACATTACAGTAATCTGAAAAAGCACCTTCATTTTTTCCCATTAAATAAGATCGCAGTCGGTATTTAAAATCTAAAGAAGTTGGATGATCGTTAAAACCATCTTTTGCTCTTATGACTCCAAAAAAATTCTCCAATGGATCTTGGTTTAAGCGTCTCGTCAAAACGTAGTTCATATTATAGCATTTGCCTACATCTTCAAGCAACAACTGCAGAGTCTTATTTGATATAAGAATACCTGCAATGTTTTGTAAAATGTTATAAATGTGTTTTTACTTTGATATACTGTGTTAACTTTTTGAAATGGAAGCAATGATTTCTTGCCTTTAACGCGCATTGTTGAAATCATGTCAGACATTCTATTTAAAATATCGTTTTGGGTTTCTAACTCCAAACCATATGCCCGGTTTCTGGTTCGAGTGTCGCTCACAGGAACGCTAACATTAAATACGTCAAACCAATTGTTCACCTATAACAAGTTAAAACAAATTAGTAATTAATATTTACCTTACAAATTGTAACTCTTACTAGTTTAAAAAGATCTGCCAATTGTGTCCAATTTGTGTCCAAGCTTAGATTAAAATTGCGTTGTTCCGGTTTTAAGTCTCCTAACTTGACAAATTCCCAGAACCAAGCGGCCGGGATCACAATGGATTTTGATTCATTTATTATTGTATTATTAGCTTTTATTACATCATGTACTTTGTAAAGGACCGCTTAGGTATCGTTTAAGAATAAATTTTTGAATGTTTTCACACGTTTTTGTGAGTACACAAAAATGCTCAATGCAAATTACAGGTATCGCAAGAAAAATTGTATTGTCTCTTACATATTTCTTCTCAAATTTAAGAAAAAGTAAAAATTTCTATCTGAATATAAAATTCGGTAGCGGTACATCGATAGAAAAGCGGCGAAATCAGTAGGTTTGGGAACACTGCTGCTACCTGCTACGCTGCAACTGACGTCACTCCCTGGCCGAAGATCGAGCGACCGTGCGCAATATGTTACCTCTGTAGTTTATTATACCATGCATCTAACAGTTAATAAAAGAAACTGTGAATACATTTATTTTATTAATCACAGCAAATAACACCATATTAAAATTACGATTATAGACGATGTCAATTCTTATAATCCAACAATATATTGGAGAGGATGACTCACTCTCAAAAACAAAAGATACCGTGAACTAATGAAGAAATGCATAATTCCGATGGATCCTTATTTCATTAGTTTTTTTAAATCTAATGTTTTATTAAATTGTATCAAAAAAGATCCTTAATATAACTGTATATTAATTTGTCTTTAAAAATAGGACTCGAAAAAAAAACGCTGGCAGAAATGAGTATGAAATTATCTGCAATAAACTATTAATACGGGTATGGCAAGTACGCGCTTTACCAGAAGATTAGAATACTGAAATTATATGCCCAATCACTGTTCCAGCTTTAGAGGGATTTCCCTCTTTAATACGGCATACAAAATGTTTTGCCTGATACGTAATTAACAGATTCTGGATGATCTTAAAAACCTCCATCCCAACATCTCTTTTACACTGGAACCAGAATCTGACAATAAGTTGAACTTCTTGGATATCAATGACTATATCTCGTAAAAAAGATTCTCTGCAGTACAATATTTATTTAGAGAAAACCTACTCAAACAGATCATGTTATAAATAATACATCTAATCATCCAACCCAACACAAAATGGCTTCTTTTAACAGTTACGTTTATAGGCTTCTCAATTTTCCACTTTCTAATGAGAACTTCAATTTAGAACTTGATACTCTCAAGTAAATTGCTTTCAATATTGCTTATAATCCTAACATCATCCATAAGCTTCTAAATAGAGCAAAACTTAAAACTGTAAAAAAGCTTGCTTATTTATCACAATGCTTTCTTCAACTCAATGCCACAAATATCTTCAGGTATTTCTCCTTAACCTGTATCAGTAACATTTCCAAAAAAAATATCAAAACTTTTTACTTCTACAATTAAAGACATCAAAATATCGTTCAAGTCACACAACACTTTAGGTATTTGTAAATTAAAATGTGATGATTGTGATGCCTCTTATGTAGGTAGAACCATTCGAAAGTTATCTACTAAAATCGCAGAACATTATTAAATAATGTTCTGTGTATTCAAATTTGGAATAGACCAAACTCTTCAAGTTTTGGTCACGATTTATTGTCCAGTAAACATAATTTTGATATCAATACTGGTTCATCTATTTTACGTAACATTAGTAGAAAGAAAAACTACTTGGAGTTGGATTTATTGGAAGATTTGGAAATTAGAAAGGTAACCAATAAAAACTCTCACTATCTTAATACTCAAATTAATTTAAATTGTACTAAATTTAAACGGATACTTAAAAAAATGATTGCAGTTTCACCTCGTAGGGGACCCAGCTCGACTGTTTAGACTTCCTACACTGAGTATATCCATTTAGAGTTTATTAATTTCATACTTTAATTAATATTAATATTTCAATTATTAATAACTTGCATGCTTTTCGTGATCAATTAATCTATAGTTGGCGTTTATTACACTCTTCATATCTTTCCACCATCTCCACAGTTGTACACTTTAGCATCTCACACTGTTGGTCAGTTGGACTTGAGTAATGTCTTTGACATTTCTAATTTTATGGTTTTTCCATTTACTGCGGATTTATCTGAATTATCGGTTCTATACTCCATTTACACACTTTGTTTTCAACTTGGATTTTTAATTCTAAGTTTTTCAATTTTATATTTTAATTTTTTGTTTTATACAGTATTGATAAAGGTGCTTGGGAGACCTTTTTGGTGTAGTCAACCACCCACTATCAAATATATTGTTTAGTCTAGTTCTTACATTTACAGTCCATATTCACTTCAATTGCCCCGAAAATAATATCCAAATTAGTACTGACAGGTTTGAGAGTGTGAGATCTGGATTATGCAATCTTATTATGCAATCAATTGACTTCCCATATTAGTGGTCAGTTGCACTTTTGGTGAATGTTCAGGTTACCATAGAATTTTAAAATATGCGGATCACATCACCATGATTGTGACTGCTCATCCTGATCGTTTCGTACCTGATCTTATACTTCATTTTCAACATTTCTATAGCTGGACAGTGTAATCCCTAGGCACTTTATTTTCTTGTTTCCTCCATTTTTGTTTTTGAGAAAGGTTTGTAGGCGTTTTGGAACAGATTCTACAGTTATAAGTTGCGACCTTTCTAAACCAGAAGATCACTATTATTTCGCTCATTCAATTTTTTAAATTTTGTTAAAAAGACATAATTAACTTGGTTCCAGGTGTTCCATTCCTATTTCAGTTTTAATTACTAAAGAACACAAAAAATTGGTCCCAAGGCTGTGCTCCCAAATTTCAAAATCAATGTTTTGGCATAAAAAAGTGGATATTTTTTGTGAAATTTGACATATTGTACTATAGTCGTAACACAAGACAATAAGTTACCACCAGAAGCCCCACTAAGAAAACTGGCTGGAAGTAGTTGAGGCACAAATCCCAGCACAATGGAAAATAACGGCACGGGCAATGTGTTTTTCAACAAAACAAAATTGGTCCTAAGGCTGTGCTCCCAAATTTCAAAATAATTTTTTTTTGGCCTAAAAAAGTGGATATTTTTTGTGGAATTTGACATATGTACTATAGTCATAACACAAGACAATAAGTTACCACCAGAAGCCCCACTAAGAAAACTGGCTAGAAATAGTTGAGGACAAATCCCAGCATAATGGGAAATAACGGCACGGAGAATGTGTTTTTCCACATGAGAATCTGCCAGCCCAGTCTGGTATTGAACTATCTACACAAAACAAGTTGATGTAGTCTTCAATGAAACATGTCTGATAGTAATCAAATGTATGAAAACCGCCACAATCAACCTCCTGTATAAGGCATTACCTAAATAATGCAGAGCAGCTGCTGAATATTTAGAAAAGTTTAAACAAATATTTAACGAACGCCACCCATTGTATAACACAAAACCCAACCGAAAAAATGTTGGAGGCCAATATTAAAAAAAAAGTTTTGTGCATTGTGTCTCACTCAATTCACCAGAAAACTACCAAAAAGACCTGAAGGTCATTAAACCGTATTCGAACTTGCACAGCTCCAGTAAAGACCAACAAGTTAAAGTGGAAGCTGCAAACCACTAATGCATCTTTGCGAATGTGGAGAATAATAAAATATAGGGCATCTTCTGTCATGCTCAAGATGCCCCTTAACATGTACTATTAGTACCCTATTGTTGGTTAGTGATGCAGCATTCTAACAGCAAACTAGAAGGAGAGTCCGGACTCAAAAAAGTAAAAAATTAGTTTTTCCGTATTCTTGGTAACATTTATCACTTACCTTAATAAAAGAAGTCATGTTCATATCATAAACACCATAAGCAGTGAACTGAGGAAACTTTTGAGTATTTTGTAAAATAAACAAAACGTCTTTCTTTAGTTCTTTACTTTCAAGTGCTTTCCAGTTACTTTGAAATAAGCAATCTGGTATTAAACTTGCCTAAAATTAAATAAAACGAATAATGATTTGAGTACATAGAAAATTTTTATTTCCACAAAATTTTAATACCATTTAATTATTGTACTACAAACTGTACTGTGTAAAGAAACTTAAAACACTTTTGTGTTTTAAGTTTGTTTTCTAAATTATTAATTTGACTGATGGCTACTGATTTCCATCTCTCAGTAAACTATATTCAGTTCAATATAACAGTTCATATAATAGTTTAATATTGTATTCATTATCATCATTAGCTCTACAACTCATAGTGGGTTTTAACCAGCTACAGAATCAGCTTCAATTCCTTCCTATGCGTCCCCTTTGTTTTCCAATTTCGCACTCTTAACACTCTTAAGTCATAACCTACCACTTTTTACGATATTTTCAGATTAAAACTTCGTTTAATCAGCGATAAAAAGTATTGTTTTTACTTGAGAACCGTTTATTTAGTGTTCCTGCAGTACGGATCCTTCACAATTCTAAGTAACTATCTCTGATCTATTAATTATTCTAGCTCGTTTATCCTTCATGTGCCTGTTTCATCGTCTGTAATCTACCTTGATGTCGTTATTATAGTCCTCAAACCATACCTTTTAATAGTTTTCTTTTATTATTTTGATGTTGTATCCAAAATGATAAAGGAGATATTATTACTGATATGAAGGAAAGATTGTGTCACTTAATGATGAAAGAGCAGAACTATCATTAGAATCCACAGAGGATACCGGACTATCAGTATTACGGAAGGAAGTCATCTATGCCATCAAAAACACAGAAGAGGGCAAGATGATGTTCCCATCGAATTATTAAAACTCATTGATGAAGATGTTATTGATGTAATGGTTAAACTCTTTAATCTAATATATAAGACTGCCACAACCTCCAGAAAATGACTGCAATCGACATTTGTGTCAATATCCAAAAAGTCAAGTGCAATATCCTGCTCATATCATAGAACAATAGCTTTAATGAGTCAAACACGTTTGAAAATAATACAGTGCATAATTGTTAAAACTCTTGAATATGAAATAAGTGACACACAATTTGGCTTTAGAAATGGTATGGACACAAGAGATGCTTTGTTTGGCTTGAATATGCTGGCCCAGAAATGAATGAGAGATATAAATTAGAATATATACTAATGTTTTGTAGATTTTGAAAAGGCATTTGATAAGGTTCAATATAAAAACTTGTATATATTATATTAAAAAGAAAAAAAAATGATATCTTATCTATATTGGAATCAAACTGCCAAGTTAAGAGTTGACACCAGAACACTGATATATCAAAATACAGAGAGGAGTCTGCCAGGGTTGCGTGCTGTCACCACCACTCTTCAATGTAGAGTGACGCGGTATTTAAAGAAGCGTTCTTAGATTCAATATAAGGTATATCTATTAATGGAGAAGTTTTAAATACAATGCGTTTTGCAGACGATACAGTAATAATGACTGATAATAACAACGATTTACAGAACGTTAATAATACTGACTAATGATGAATTTCTTCTTCTCACTACTCACTACTCGGTCTTTGTTGCGGTACCACGGTCACTACTCTTCTTTATTGCTTGGAAGCATGAACATTAAAACAAGTGCATCTAAAGAAGTTGGCCGCCTTTAAATTTTGGTGTTACAGAAGAATCCTAAGAATATCGTGGACTCAAAGAATGTCAAACGCATTGACATAAACGAATTGACTATCAAAAGAAGATAATTTGAGTAATAAGGCCATGTTATGAGAGGGCAAAGATATTAATTATTGCAGCTTATTGTAACGATATATTTTGCTTACCTCAGGGTAAGAACATGGGGTAGAAGATTGGGCAAACAAAATAAATCGAAACTAGTGCGTACGGCACTCAGTTGGTTGTTGGAGAGCTGAGTCGTGGATAAGTTGAAAGATAAGGGGGTTGGATTGGGGCAACTACAAAAAAATGAAATAAAGTGGTACTTATACATATCTCTTGGGACAAACAAAACAAAAAGAAACAGGAAACACCTGTAGTAATTTATATAGAGCGCCACTTTGAGGTGCCTAATTATAACTAGTACAACAACTAGTTTGTAACTAAAGACATAATTATTGAAAAAATCAAAACATAAAAAACATATATTTTTCAAATAAAACTCAAAATAGATCAGAGAAACAAATTAAACGTTTATTTTTGTCTCAAACAAACAGTTATCAAAAATATAGATTTTACAAGAACATATACAAAGATAATACAAAAATTAGCAAAAACTTACGTGCTTATTTGTTTACAAAGGAGATTTAAAAGGCTAAAAAACAAAAGGCTGTTTACAAAGGCTATAAAAATTCTGAGACGGTTCCTAGGTTATAATATGGCCAAATTAGGTTATTAAAAAGTAAGGATCCTTGTTAATGAAAACATAATAAAATTTAACCTTATATATGAAATATCTTTTCTACATAATAGTCAAATTAAAATTGTCACAACAAAAAAAAACAAATTAAAGCTAGCTGTCAGGTGTCACATTTAATTTTGATGACAAAGAACAAATACATTAACAGCATAACCATACACATTACAATTTTTAATTTGTTATGAAAGCAATTATTACTATAGCCAAAAAATGTCTGTCTTTACTTTGAAAAATTAATATATTGAATTGTTACCTTAAAATTTACATATTTGGCCACTCAAATAAAAAAACTTACATCTCTGGGGAATTTACTTGTACAAATTCTCTAACTGGAACACAGGAAACCATTTCTATACTCAGGCAGGAACGATTGAAACAGGAACTTTGTGGAGGAATCAAGCTGACTACGGGGACATCCTATACAATACTTCTCAAAAATTTCCGGTATCTATTCAAATCTTCTAATGACTACTCTGACAGAACTGCTTATGCAAAGCAAAGGGTATTATCATATTGACCGGTGTTAAGACATCACTAAAAAAATTGAATCGACTCTTCGATTCAAAAATTGCCCCACATTTTTCATTTCAAATCTTGTGTTCGACTTACATTGTAGCACGTCTGCTCTGCTTCAAATTTAAACGTCGACTCTTTATCCGCGTTAAATTTTACAAGTTCGACGCCAAATAAATTTCCCCTTTGTGTCTAAAAACCTAAACAAACAATATTCCTCTTCTGCCTAAATCTAATATCGGTGTGGGCGACCCTAATATTACGTCAATAACATAAATTTCTTGTTTTTAAAACAGGCCTCAACTATGTTACAAAGCGACTTTCAAATAAACTACTTTTAAATATGAAGGAATAACACGTATTATTGATTATTCTAACCGGAATAAGTTCTACCTGACTTTGTAACAGAGATAAAAAAATATTTCCAGCGTTATTACGCATTTAAAAACCTCGTCAAAAAACTTTGAAATATTTATATGTAACATACATTTAACATCTTCGTCAAAATCGTTTTTCTTGGTAAAAACAACCAGGGACGTACTACTAAAATCTAAAATATAAAACGCTACATTATTACGCACGGCAAAATTAGAGGAAAGCGAAATGTGGGAAGATGAAGAGTATCGTGGCTAAAGAACTTGAGGAAATAGTTTGAATGCAGTAGTACAGAACTATTCAGCAGTAGTATAGAACTATAGAGTATAGTAGCAGCAGTCTACAGGGTCTGCATAGCCATGATGATTTCCAATCTTCGATAGAAGATAAAACTTAAAGAAGAAGAAGATCTATATCTCAAATAAACTACAACTATTCATATTCATATACAATAGCTTTTTTATCATCTAATTCTAATTCTCTAATTCTAGGAATATTCTGGGAGGGATCTCCGCAGGAGTAAAACCAAGCCGCAAGCCCTCATTTATTGACGTACTGTTTATTCATAAGCCGATCAAATATATCAGCGTATTCTAGTCTGAGTAGCAGATTCATTTAGAATTTTAAACTATTACGTCAACCTTTCTGTTTTCTAGCAGATTGCGATTCAGCCATCTCGTGCGCTTGGCTTTGTGACCGACTGTTTGTAAATATTACTTGGAAAGTGCAAACCGTTACCTGGTACTAACCGAAAAAAAAAGTTAATCAAAGATGCTTTTTATGACCAATTAAATACTTTTCTTATGACTTTACTAAACAGGATTTGACAATTTTTATGGGATATTTTATTGCTAAAATAGAAAGAGCATAAGAATAAAGACCCAAAATCGGTAGACACAATGGAATCAGAGTAGTGGACTTTGCAACATCAAATAATATTCTTATTAAACTAACGACGTTTGATCATAAAAATATTCATGAGCAGTCCTTCGTTTCAAGTAATGGGTTATAGTCTAGTCAGGTTAGACGAAGAAAAAATATAACTTTGCATGACGAGCTGCCCCAAATTTTATTATTCTAACCTTTAGAGGGGTCATGAGTAGTGTAAATTTAAAATGGCGACTAAATCCAACCGTTGCGTTATCCACCATCTTGACTTTTAAAATGAAAAAGGAGAACCATTTTTGCCCAATACCTCTGCCATTTCCAACTTGTCAAACATGGTAAGGACTAAAATTGTTGCAAATGCGGTATTATAGAATTTGTTTTATACAATTTTTTTCGAGTCGCTATTTTAAATTTATACTACTATTGCTCAAAATAATAAAATTTGTTGCCGCTTGATATGCAAGGTCAAATACTATCGATACTAGTAACGAGAAATCAAATTGATCATATCAATCATAATGATTGATTGTAGAAGTATCCGGGACTTGATGCAAACAGCAAAGATTTTCTAGTTAGAGCCAAACTCAGCCAAAGAATTTATAAACAAAAGAACAGTAACCCAGAACAGACTATGATAGGAAACACGGGCTCTTTCAAAATGCACAATAATAAATTAATACCAAGCACTACTTCAAACTAGTTTGAGATCCGTAGAAAATCAAAATAACCTACCTATACACTGTGGGAAATAATTAAAAATTCAATTAATAATAGTATACAATTCACGGGAAAGAGTAAGATGACTAACAGAAGAACTGCTTTGATGGTGAATGTTACAGTATCTTAAAATTAAGCAATCAATTCAGACAACAATGGATGCAGCAGCGTAACTAGGAAATTATACAGGAGTTCCATAGTACATGCAAAAAAGACCATAAAAGCCAAAAAATAGCACAGGAAGAAAAGATCCTTGAAGAGTAAGAGGTTAATATAATGAACAATAGTGGGGGATATTTCTTTCGGGAAGTAAAAAAATATAAAAAATTGGTTTCAACAAAATTTGTTGAAATCGTCAAAAAGAATAACGACGTTAACTGGGATACCTAGTAGAGTGGGGGAAGGCTAAAGTGATAGAGACCCGAAAAACATAATTTGACGAGCTGCTAAACGTGCCGATAAATGAAGCCAGGCAGGAATATACGTATCTTACGGGAAACCTTTAGTAGTAAAAGATCCTATACTGGAAGTGTCAAGCGATATTCGGAAACTAAAAAACAACAATGCTCCAGCAAACGACACTGTATGCAGAATGTTTTAAAAATGAAAAGAAGACTTTGCTAAATATTTTTTATCAGCTGATCTGCCACATCTGGAAAGGGGGGCAAGTACTAACAACCCCCTGAAAATAGTGTGTTATCGTACCCACACACAAAAAGGGCGATAAAATGTACTGGACAAATTATAGAGGTATCTTCTTCTTAGGTTGGCAATCATAATGGCTATTTTTATTTTTGAAGTTGCTGCTCTAAACAAATCAATCGATCTGCATTGATACCAATCACGTAGATTCTTCAACCATGAGTTCTGCCTTCGGACAACAGATCTTCTTCCTTGAATCTTTCCCTGTATTATGAGTCTCAAAATTTTATATTGTGGTCCCCTCATCACGTGGCCTAGGTATTCCAGTTTTCAGGTATGTATAGTGGTGATTAGTTCTGTTTCTTTATCAACCCTCTCCAGTTCTTCTTTATTTGTATATCTATTAGTCCATGACATTTTTAATACTGTGAGGTATAACCAGAGTTTGAAAGCCTCGATTATTTTTAAATTGCATTTTTTAATGTCCAAGTATCAGCTCCATATAATAATATTGAAAATATATATCAGCGAATGGTACGTAGTCTGATCTCCAAATTTAAATTTTTGAACGTTAAGAGTGGCTTCATTCGTATAAACGCTGATCTGGCAATTTTTATTCGCCTGCTTATTCCTGCAGTATGATCATTGGTTTCATTGATTAAAGTTCCCAAGTACTGATATTTTTCGACTTGTTCTATCACATTACCATTGATTGTCAATAGGTGATGTATATTTTGTGGTCTTTTTGTAATTAGAATGTACTTCGTTTTTTTAGCGTGTATAGTAATTTTCATCTCAGCATTATTCATACTTAAGCTTTCGATAAGATGTTGTAGATCTTCTATACTCGTTGCAATGATCACAGTGTAGTCTGCATATCGTAATTTGTTAATGAATTTTCCGTTACGGTAACTCCCGCTTTGATATTATTGAGCATGTTTTGGAAAATTTCTTCAGAATATAAGTTAAATTAAAGTGGCGATAAAACACATCCCTGTCTAACTCCTCTGCAGACCTTCATTTCTTCTGAGTGTTGCTCATCAATTTGAACTATGGCACTTTGGTACCAATATAATGTTTGCACTATATTTATGACTTTACTGTCAATGCGCTTGTTCATAAGTATTGATATTAGTTTTTCATGTCTTACTTTACCGAAAGCTTTTTCGTAGTCAACAAAGCGCAAGTGTAGATCAACGTTTACATCACGACATATCTGAATCAATATGTTGATGGCAAATAGTCCTTCTAGTGTACCGATTCCATTGCGGAACCCTGCGTCTCGCTAATATCCTCCTCTAGCCTTTCGTAAATTCTTTTATGTATTACTTTCAGCAGTACTTTTAAAGTATGACTCATGAGGCTCAGTGTTCGATTATCAGAGCACTCTTTTGCTGCTATAGAGGTATAAAATCACATAATTACATGGGATTTAAAATTTTTCCCTAATACTATTAGAACGATTGAGTAAGTGGGTGGAAGATTAAATAGAAGACTATTAATGTGAGTTTAGTAAAAATCGATCGGCAGTGGATCAAATATTCACTATTAGACAAATATTGGAGAAATTATGAAGATACAACCAAAATTTCACCAGCTCTTTATAGAATTTAAACAGATATACGATAGCATCTTCCGAGTGGAGCTGTATAACACCATGGCGAAACAAAACAAATCGAACAAATTAAGTAATTTCATAAAAGCTTATGTAGAGGGATTTAGAAGTGCAATAAGACTTGATGGAAAACTGTAAATCTTCTTTACAATACATAGTGGTCTCAAGCATGGATATACGAGAACTAACCGAGAATTTTAAGAATTATATAACCAGCCAGATATAGTGAAAATAATAAAAGCAAAAATATTAAGATGTGCTGACCATGTCAAGGAACAAGATCAGCGTGTTGTAAAGCTAGTCTGGGAAGAGAACCCGACAAAAAAGCTACCGCTTTGGAGACCAAGGATGCAGTGAAGAGGTAATATTGCAGCAGATCTACAAGTTTTAAATATTAAACAAGCACAGTCAATATAATAGAGAGTGTGAGAATTACCTGATACCACATTTCGTTCCCCATGACACAATCGATGCCCAGCTGCATAACGAATCCAATAGAGTAAATTAATGCTGCAGCGGATTGGTAAATAGAGACGTCATCCTTAAAAAATTGTAAAAATTACGACAGGATTATTAGAAAATTACATTAAGCATACTCTGGACAGGATAAAAGTTCCAAGACACACGCCCAAAACACTGTTTATTAGTTGGCCGATTTCTATTGGATTAAACGTTTTATTGAAATCTTTGTTGAACCTAAAAATCGAAAAATTAGATATTATGACAAAATATAGATATAATATTGCTACCTAATAAGCATAGTATGATGCTTTACACATCGAAAAAGATACTCCCTTTCCAAGCAATTATCATATCGCTTCATACCGTCTTTACTCAATATTCTTAATTCCTGATTAATTTCTTTCATTTCACTGGTGTTATATACGAGAAAACATCTCTGCAGTAGATAGTACTGATTAGCCGTATATATACAGATAGCAAGGATTAAGAAATCCGTTCCTAAAACACTAACACAGACTGCCAGCTGCATAACTATTACTTGTATGATATATACAGGTATATATATGTACGTATTAGACCAATCAACTGGCAAGACACAAGGAAATGGTAAGGTTCGTTCTGAAAAAAATACCGGCTGCACCACAATAACTGTCGTAAATATCTGGCCTAAAATTTTTAAATAATAATAATAAAATGACCTATTTATTAAAAAATACAAAAAAGCACAGCCTAACATAAAAAAGCATTGACAGCTTTCCCAACGTCAAAGCAGTATCTCAGCGATATGTAAATATCTTTATGATATCTTATGCACGAGTAGTAAAAATTATGTTATGTTTTACCTGTGATAGCCATTAGTATCATAAAGTTAAATCCAGCATTATACAAACCATTAAATGAGTTTTTATTGGTTTTATCTAACATATCGCTAGGCCAGAAATTGGTCGATATCATGTCCAACAAATGTTTTATTTCTTTGGATTTGTAAGCCACTACAGGTAATTTTAGAATTGTCTGAAACAATTATTTCTAAAGTTAAAATATTAAATTGATAGCCTTTAACTTGCCAATAGGGGAACAACAAGCATGAACAGTCCATAAGTAAGTTTGTCGAATTCGTTTATGTGCTTTAATATGTACATAAATTCACCATAAAAAACAAAAATACTGGCTGCGGTTAATACTGTGCAAGAAAGCATCAAAATAGTGTGATCTGCTTCATGAGGCCACATTAGAATTATTCGGAATAATATCTCTGGACATTGTAATATCAGTTTACCGTAGTTGGTTATTCTTCGTAGAGAACGAATGAAATCTGAAAAAGTAAAAATATAGGTTAGGGGAGAGTGTTCCACAATCAGACACAAAATAGATTTTGCTAAGTATTGACCTTGTGTATTGAACCAACCAAAATATGATTATCACTAAAATAAATTAAGGCTAAACATAAGTTTTTATCGTAGAACAAACATCATAAACCGAAAACTAATTTAAAAAAAGTTTGTTTAACAAAGGAAGGACACACATGTTCCACATCCAGACACTGCATGTTCCACAATAAGACAAAAGGTAATAATGTTTTAACAACCTTCTAAAGCTGAAAAATTTACTTCAAACTTCAAATAAGATTGTTGCCGCTTTGTTGTTCCCACATGTGCTAGTTTTGGTAACACCATCTTAATGTTTTCCAAACATACCAATGAGACGTCTTCTATTTCGGGGTAAATGAAGCTGTTATTATACTTAACGGACTTTTTCAAAAATTTGACCTCGCATTCTTTATTCTTTTTACAGAAAACTTCAGCTATGTAATAAATTTTTTTCTTTTTGTCCATAAATTCCATTAAACTAAAATCGCCAACTTCTGGCTCTTTATTAAGCTTATCTAGAAGTGGTGGTGGATCGATTTCTCCTACAAAATCAATATCATCATCGGAACTTTCGGTTACAAGCATCGCCGCGTCTTCATTTTCTTCGTCTGTTGAGTCTTCATCCATTACTTTTCTTTTCACGACCTTATTCTTCTTAACACTTTTTTTCTTTCTCGCTCCATTTGTTTAGCTTCTAGGGAGATCTTTTCTGGAGTGTCCGTGGCGATAATACTTTTAGCTTTTTCTCTCTTCTTTCTCTTATTTTTTCGTTCTTCACCTTTTGGGTATCCTTTAAATTGTTGTGGACTTACGAAAGTTTCTTTGTGATTTTGTGTAGGTGTTGTGTTTAAACTAACTGATACTGAAACTAAGGAGTCTGACATTATATTTTCTTCAACGCATCTTGATGTTGATGGTTGATTTGGATCCATAAGTCGTTGAGCTTCTTCATTGTTTTGATCCCCATTCCTATCAGTTACGCTGCTAATTGCAAAGTCGTCATCTGTAAGAAACATAGCCAGCGATATCAAAAATAGAAACATGTATCCCAGGGTGCTCTAAAAGCCATGTTTGTAAGGCAGTATTGTAGAATGATTTAAACGAAAAAAACACCGAGACATCTAATGGTTGCATTTTGTTGGAAGTATGTGGCGGTAAGGTCAAAATGATCACTCCATTTTCCTTGGCTAGATTTATTACTTCTATCGTTAGATGACTCTCGTGATTATCAAAAATTAAGAGAAAAGGGTTTTCTTTTGTGCTGGACGTATGTTTAATGAAGTGACTTACAACGCTTGCAAACAATTCACGAGTCATCCATCCAGAATCGGAAACCAATCCCAAAGTACTATGCGGTGCTCCATAAGTTATTCGAGGATTACACTTTTTTCGTGGAAAAATCATGACTGGTGGTATTGTATTCCTGGATGCTAATATAACACAACAAGTGGTGACCAGTAAACCTCGTTCGGCGCTCGTGCAGGAAGAGACCTGCTTGATCCCTCTCCGAGCAACAATCTTTTGCGGTTTTTGGGCGGTTGTGGTGGCAGTTTCATCTAAATTATAAATTCTTGTACCGCTGCAAAAATTTACATGGTTCTGAAACACTTTTTCCAAATTTTTGAAAAAAAGTCCAACATTGTGTTTGTTGAATGATGTCACTCTGGAGAGGCTACATCCTTCCGGCTGGCGAAGACTTAATTCTGCATGTCTGGACATAAATCCAAGGAACCATTCGCGTCCAGCTTCCTTGTTTGTTTGCCAATTTTCCGGAATTTTACAATTATTGATAGTTGCCATTTCATAAGCCAGTTTTCTGATATTAATGACCGTTTGTCCGTAACACATTTTTGAGCAAGTTAATACGTAATAAGCTAGGGCTTTTTTTCGATTATCTGAAAAAACTTTTCTACAAGCATAGTTTGGAGCCATTCTAATCTCTTTGGTGGGATTCTGTTTTTGCTTTTTTACATATTCATAAACCGTTTGAAATTTTAAATTGTATCTTTCAGCTGCTTGTCTTAAAGATATCTTCTCTTCGGTGACTGCTCTAACAGTAGCTCTCATGGATTGTTCATTAAATTGCCCTTTATCGCTTTTTCGCTGACGTCCTCGAGCCATTTTTCCTGAAATATAAATTAAATTTTTACAAAAACAATTACTTTTTCAACAACACTCCAAACAAGCGTTGTGTTCCACAATCAGACAGTGTCTGATTGTGGAACAAACATGCTGTCTGAAGGTGCAACACAACCTACAATACAAAATTAAATTTAACTGTGACCTTCATACATAACCTACAAAAGTAAACTTGCTTATAAAATGCCTACAAAATAGCTCAAAATCTGATGTAAAGGTTGTTTTTGTAATACTAGTTTCAGAAGAAAAATTAAAGCATATAATATCATATCAACGATAGAAAAAACTTACCTTGAAAAACGATTTTTTATTAAAAAATGCACAAAACCAAGAGAACAGCGTTCAAACTTTGTTTACCACATTGGCGTGTATAACCTCACTATACGAACGAAAAACGTCAAACTTACGGCGGGAATTTCAAAATTCCATGCTTTGTCTCATTGTGGAACATGTCTAATTGTGGAACATGTCTAATTGTGGAACACTCTCCCCTATAGTAAATTTAGAGATTATAGTAACTTGTTTGTTTATCAAAATTTAATTGTTTAATTGTTGAAGGCATTAAACAATTAAACAAACTAATAAAAATGAGACACATTCAGAAGGAAAAATAGACAGACTACTTTCGATTTCTATTTGCTAACGATGACGATAATGAACTACCAACACCAAAACTGGAGAAAAACGAAGAAATAAACATTGAGGAAGGAGATTAAAAAAAAAGCTAAAAGGAAATAATAAAAAATAGAAAATAAGCGAGAAAGGACAGAATACCCAACGAACTCCTAAAGTACATATGACCAGATCTGACCAAATCATTATTAAAACTATTCAAAAAGGGAGAGAAAAAGTACCCGAAGAACTACAGAGGAATTAACTTATTAAACACAACACTAAAATTAACAACCATAATGATAACAAATAAACCAAATGAAACTATAACACTAGCACAAGAACCGACGCTATATTTATGATGAGAAATATGCAAGAGAAATCACTAAAAATCTACAAACTTGCATATTTATGTTTTGTTTACTTTAAAACGAAATTTGACAGAAAAAATCAAAACGATCAAAAATATCTACCAAAACAATACAATAAAAGTAAAAGTTGAAGAAGAACAAACTGACCCAATTGAAGCTGGCAATGGGAGAAGACAGAAATGTTTCCTGATCCCTCTATTGCTCAACCTGACCATGGATGAAATAATAAAAAAGGTAAGAACAAAAAAAAAGATACCAAATGGGAGAAAAAGATTTTGAAATAATCTGCAATGCAGACGACATCGTACTAATTCCTCAAAAGAAGATGATTTGAATATGGTGCACCAATTTAATATAACCATTAGAAAATTGAACATGTTCATTCAATTCAATTTATGGTTATAAACATAACCATATATAACAGCAAGTACACTAAGATGTAAATTCGATGTGGAGAGACACACAATAGAACAAGTGATAGAGTTTAAGTATCTAGGCATCACACTATCTAGCTATGGAAAGCTTGAAACAGAAATTAAAGATCAATTAAAGAAGTGAGTAGAGCAAATAGAGCAGCAGGATGTCTGAATAAAACAGAATGGAAAAATAATTATATTGGGAAAAAAATGAAAGACAGAATTTACAGAACAGTCATCAACAGATCAATAATATACTCGACAAGAACACGACCAAACACAAAGAGAACAACAATAATGATAAAAACAGTAGAGATGCAAGCTTTTAGAACAGTCGATGGTAAGGCACTATGGGACAAAGCTAGAAGTACAGATATACGACGTAAATGTAAGGTGGAGAACATCAAGGACTGGGTAAGAAACAGAAGAGTAGCATGGAACGATCATATAAGTCGACTGAGAGTAGAACAGATGGAGAGAGACGGTTCTACAATAAGAAGACGATCAGTAGAAAGACTACGAAAACGATGAAATAAAAACTTACTGGAGGCACATTTAAAAACAAACGAAGTCCTGTCTACATAAAAAAGGAGAAAGAAAAACAATTGTCAAAGTCATTACCAGACTTAATAGACAGATAGGTGAAGATATAAAACAAGAATTAAAATAAAAAAATAATATCATATCCAAAACCACAAACTAAAACGACGAAAAGAAGTCAACAGGTGTGTATATAATCTGTGGAATAACGTTAGGCATTTCGTTAAGCAGAAAACTGATTCTTACTAGTACAGAATTCATATTGACTACATAAAATACTTTTCTGGATAGAACATTAGTGAGAGTATACAGAATAGTACTCTAGATATCGGTCACTAATCGATATTAACTGTCCCTTTTTAATTTTTATTTGGAGAAACTAATGGATATATTTTGTACACTTAAACAAAGTAATATAAAAAATAAGAATTTTTGAGTATTACTGGCCGAAATTGAATATTTACCTAAGATCGTAGTCATTTTGTAAACGTTTCAACAAAGAAGTTGTGTTCTTTATATTAGCTAATACCAATTTATTATTAAATCAAGACAAAAAAAAATTATCG